TTTTATTACAGCCCAGGAAGTCTCAAGATTTATCAAAAGTCTTGAAGGCTACTGGCCCAAATAAAATCCCAGTGGTTTTCCTTAACAATATTAATCTAGAGTTATCCCTAATCTTAGCAAAATGATATTACTGCTATTTCAAAGAGAAATTCTTCCCCAGTCTATGGAACGTGTCAAGTGCATACTCTATTTTACTTTGATCATTTGTGAATATCTATGCTTATGATACAATGGTATATGGGCGTAACTCCAAAACTCTAGATGACCAGAAAATGGAAGCTGATCTCTTCTCTGACCTAACCAGTCCTCAGAGGCCCCAGTGATCAATGCAGGCTACCCCCGGGGTTTATTTCTTGGTCCAACCCTCTTTCTACTTTACATAAATGATTTGCCTAAGAGTATACTTTGATCATTTGTGAATATCTATGCTGATGATACAAATTTATATGGGTTTACCTCCAAAACTCTAGATGACTAGAGATTGGTAGCTGATCTAGGGATGTACCATCATCATCAAGCAGACTCAGAACTTTCACTGATCATGATGGAAGGTCTATGGAAGGTCAAGTGTATACTCTGTTTTCAAGAATGCAGGTGAGCATTAATCCCCATCATGGTACAGACTCATCAGCTTCCTCAGTGTCATTAGCAAACTTTTTAAAGCTATAATCAGCAAGAAGAGTATTGATCACCTCAATAGTGACAATTATTTGTGCAACAAGAAATATGGATTTCAATCAGCTCAGTCCACTATTGATATCCAAACTGCCATTAATTACAGAATCAGTGAGACACTAGATAACAAATACATCTCAAGGATGATCATATTAGATATTTCAAAAGCCTTTGACAAGGTGTGACATAAAGTGTTATTGCACAAGCTCTCTAGCTATGGTATCACTGGAAGTCCTTCCTAACGGGTAGGTATCTGAAGGTAGTTGAATGGTTTTAATTTGCTCATGGAGTCAGCCTAATTCAAAAATGGTATGATATGTTGAGCTACAGCTTCTAGGAGTAAAGTTAAAAGAGTGTGACACACTGACAGTCGAATTTACTTATATAGAGATTTTTAAAAGTTAGAGTTGTGTCCCTTTCATTGAAAAAGTGTGACACACAGATTTTCCTATTATATAGATTATCAATGCTAATATATTCATTCCATCATTTACAATCATAAGTTGTCATCAAGGTTATAGGTTAACAACAGTAGTCTTCTACTGTTACCCCCCCACTATTTAAAAACATAGTGCATAAGCTGGTATTATGTTTAGAAATATATTATCTTTAAGGGTATATAACCATCATAAAAATGACTTTTTGTTTTCTGTTTAATGACCCACTCAGCAGTCATTTGTAAACTGATTTAGTTTTTTTTTTTTCTAAGATGTTGGGTATAAACAGAGGTGGATTAATCATTAGGTATATGAATCTGGATGGAAGAGGACTCAAGAAAAAAAATTGAGTCTATCCATGAGTATTTTCAAAGTAAATTAGTAAATTTAAGAGTAATTAATTGGATTTTATAAAAATAATGATTGGTTTTCGCTTAAAACATAGGGAAAGTAACATTTATTTATTTATGTTCATGAGCTGCCAACTAGTCTTCTACTGTCACCCCCACTTTATAAAAAGTGGTGCATAAAACTGAATTAAGTATGGAGGACAACAACTTGAATCTACAAACTGGTATTAGGTTTAAAAATGAATTATCTTTAACTGCATATAACCAATAGTTTATGAATATAATTATATTTATTCTATAGTTTTTGATGAAACTTACTAGAATGAGTCATTTTATTTGTATACTGCAAATGAAAATAAAGAAATTACTTTTAATATATTTTAGTTTTACTCATTGCATTTATTTTCTGACTTTACTTACTGAGTTGATTTTTGTACTCAATGAAGTCTTTTTATTATTCTGATTTTAAAGTTAAAGGTAGTGCTACAAAAAATTGATAGGAGTATTGATAAAGACTCATTGAATTGATTTTGTTAATTGATTACCATCATGGAATTATTGAATTATTTCCTTTTTGAATTTCTGTACAAAAAATGATCTAACAGTTGTAAAAACGAGAAGGAAAATAAATAAAACAAAATTCTAAATAAACAGAAATATAGTTCTACAAAAGGATGCTGAGAATCCCATGGACTGAACAGATGAGTAACAAGGAAAATAGAAACAAAAAAGATACTTATACTTAAAATCAGAAAGAGACAGTTGAAATTTCTAGGATGCAGCATGAGGAAAAAGGGCTTGGAGGATTTAATGCTCACAGGAGATACTAAAGGCAAGATGGACAGAGGAAAGCAACAAGTAACCTACCTAACAAGCTTGTGTAAATGGATGGCATAACAAGAATTGGAAGGGATGGTAAAAAGACAAAACTTTCAAAGGGTTACAAAAGATAGAAAGTCAGAGAGCCATGATTGCCCACATCCTAAATGGATCACTGGAACCCCATAATCAGCTGCTTCAGGTAAATAGAGCTCATCATCCAGGAAAGGCAGTCCATTTAGGGGAAGGAAAACCTTGATTTTTATACTCTTCTGTCTCTTGACTATATCCAAACATGGAAAAGACTATGGAAGTGAATCCAGACAGAAAATCCAGAATGGAGCTCTGAAGGTGGTTGGATGTCAACATTGACAAACTTCCAGCAACTCCTGCAGCTATGTCAATCCCAAATGTAATGCCATGTATTCCTTTGGATCTTGTTGGTACAGCTAAGAGGAGGGCCATGTGGTTTGGGCAGCACATGACCTCCATATACCATTGCCCAGGAGGCCTTCATTCTGAAAAGATCTCTCAAGACTCATTGCCAAAGGACTGAATTTGGACCAAATAGGGTACTACAATTATCTTGTGAAATAAACAGATGCTTATTACATATCAAATAAGGAGGTAAGTATACAACACCCCAACAATGAAGCAAGTCATTAATCAAATAAATATTCATTAATAATTTGTTTGATTTTATTAAAGTCTATAATATATAGTAGGCATGGTGGAGTAATGGATAGCAGCTCAGATTAAGGAATCAAAGAGATGCATTTGAATTCCAGTTGAATCCATTATATTCACTTATGTGCTAATACCCTTGGGAAAGGTATTAATCTTCTTCTTCTCTCTCCAGCTATAGGTAAATAGCAGGACAGACTGGGTTCTGTAGCCTTGGATGGCAACTGGTTTACTGCAGAAAGAAATAGCAACCTACTGCAGGAAAAAATCTGTCTCGTCAGTCATGTATTGAAAGATACATGATTGCCTAAGCATGTATCACGCATGGCACATAACTGACTGACTATAATATATACAAATACAGAATGAAGTCAAATGATGAGGGGATATATGAATATTCTGCTACACCATCCAACAAAGTAGGGAGGGCCTGCTTGCACTCAAAAGCAGCATTTGGAATACTTTTTTAAAAAAAACAAAAGAGAAAAGGAAAAAAACAATACAAACAAATTGATGTTTCATTTGTGGAAAAATCTCAAACTATCATAGCCTTAAAGGAGGCAGCTATTTAAACAGAAAATCTCAACAGAACATGATTTACACAGAGGCAGACCACAAATCAAATAATTATTCATTAATTTTATAGGTATTAATAAATGCCATTACACATGGAAAATATGGTGACGTAAGGATAAATACAAGTTGTGTATTTATCCGAAATTCCAAAATACAAAAATCTCCAAATCCAAAATTTGACGACTTGCCACAAATGGAAAACTTCAGAAAGCACTGGAAAGGTTCCTAGATGATAGGCAGCTGTTTTAAGTGAACACATTTACCCTGGCTGGGGTTTCCCCAGCTCAGCTATGTAGCCTATGTTGGCATTAGTTTTTGTAAGTAATTGTCACAGCAACACCTTTGTTCATGGATTACTTACCAGGTGTTTTGTGCTCAGTAAAGATATTATTCAAAATGTCAAAAAGTCCTGCAGATACACATATGTGTAATGAAAAGAAAAAAGAAAGCATTTATGTTTATCAATATCACAGAATACCAAACTATTGGAAAAACTAAACAGGGGTGTAAGTTTGAAGCATCTGCCTGAAGAGTTTGGCAATGGAACAGCCACCATATATGACCAAAGGAAACACAAGGAGAAATTGTTAAAGTTTCATGCTGAAAGTGATGAACAGAAATTAATGAAAAATAGAAAAACACTGCACAGAAGAAAAAATGACAATCTTGATCGTGTATTGATGCAGCAGATTTGTCAGTATCAGAGTGAACATATGCTGCTTATATGAAACTACCTTCAGGGTACATGTATAAGCTGTATTATGAAATGTAAAGAGAGATTGTGTTTATGCTTGGGTTCCATTTCCAAGCTGACCCATTTTCTAGATGCTATATACAAATTAAATAGCCTGTATTCTAAAATCTGAAAAAAATCTTAAATATCCAAGCAGAAATTTGATATATTTCTTTTATTATGGGCAAACTGCATCTAGGGTTGCCAACTCCCTAAAGTGGAAATGTAGGAAGGGGAGTGTTTCTAACTAGACAGATTCCCTGTTATAGAGTCCACAGACAACTTTAGGGACATGTTCCCAACCAGGGGTCCACAGATACATGAAACTGAAACCCATTTGGTTATTTTGAGCAATAGGAAGCCATATGTAACAAATTGTCATACAAGGATTTTATATGATCAGAACAAAATAACAGTTCAGTTAGAATTTTAGAGTGTTTTTTTTTTTTTGGTTGATTTATTTGTTTTTACTGCTTATCAACCTTCTGTGTGTTATTTAAAGCTAGAAAATAGTTTTTAGATTGTAAGAATTTTTTTGAGATAATAATGATTTACTGATACAAGTCCTAGTAATTAACCCATAACTTGTGGGGAGACAAGGTGGATTTATACCTTTCTAAGGTATTTGTGGGTAAATAAATATAATGAAACAAAGTGGAATTGAAACTCAACACTCTGATTTCCAATTCCAAGTTATTATCCATTACACCACTTGCACATCCAAGTTTACAACACCTGATATTCCTAAGCAGTCTCCCATCTAGGTACTGACCAGGCTTAATGATGCTTAACTTCAGTGAACATACAAAAACCAGTGTTTCAATGTGATATGGCCACAAGCCAATTTTAGAGTTCAACAAAACTGCATTTTAAGAAAATTTTTTCAAATGGTGAGAAAAGGATAGTTATTCCCTTATCACCACTAGTACTATATACACTCTTAACTCCCTTGGCAATATTTATTGTTTTTAAAAGCTATGATTAGAATTTTAATAAAATCCCAAAATATGAAAATGGATTTATACATTTTCTTTATTCTTGAGAATTAACAACAAAGATATTAAACATTATTTATTAGATTAAATAAAAAACATGTTTTCATTGTTATTTGTAAAATGGTAAATAATAAATATTACATTGTAATTAGTGTACACATTTTGATAAGTTTGTAATTTTTAAAAAATTTTTGAATAAAAAGATTACATTTCAAATTTATTTTTTATAAAATGGTAAATAATAAATATCAAATTGTACTTCGTTCACATATTTTTATAATCTTGTAAATAAACATTGCCAAGGGAGTTAAAAATGTTTATAGTATTAACAGTGTCAAGAGAATAACCATCTTTTTGATACTCACCATTTTTTTTGCAGGCACAAAGGTTAAACATTGTGAAATTATTTTTCTTTTCTTTTTTTTTTTTTAAATAAAAAGCAACTTTTACACATAATTTTTAAAGAGAATCACTAATTTTCAAAAGGTAGGACAAAAAATGTCCTACATCAGTTTATGTTGGGTATGTTCATCAGCATCAAAATGCAGGATTGTCCTGCATTTTGTGGGATGAATGGCAACCTTATAAACAGCATACATTATTTTTAAATAATTGTTTTCATAAGGAAAAAAGTATAAGTAAAAATAAGAACTGATCTTGAGTGAAAACTTTCAAATGTTTTCACTTGCTTTTCATTGAGCCTCCACAGACAGTTATTCTACTGCCATCTGCATCTTTCATCGTTGCATGATAAGTTATCTATGCTTCTGGTAATTATTAATGGCCTCTAACTGAAAAGAGCCACTATGTTAATTTCAGCTGCTTTTAATCATATCTCATCTCAAATTGTTACTATACTGTCTTTAATAGATAGCATACATTGAATATAAAGATTTGGCTTTCAATGAGACAAATTTACATACCTTTTCCCTCAGAAAGCCTGTCTTTGTATGACAGTTGTTCTGCCATTTGAGGTATGAGAGCCAACAGCGTAGAATGTTAAATCTAACCAAGTAAACTTATTCTTTACCTCCCCACCACTGAATGCAGAGTGATAGTCTGAATAGATGCTGCAGATCATAACTAAAATTGAGATGAAAGAATTTATGAGATGAAAGTTATCAATATTTACATTCAGATTTTCATCTTTGTTGCTATTATCGTAATGTTTCAGCCATTTTGTTCTCCAGCCTTTTTTAGGTGTTTGTTGATCCAGCTTTATTTAACCTGCTGATTGTCTTTTTTTTTTCTGCTGTCAATATCAACAGATATCTTGTCTTGCTCTGCTTTATTAATGCATATCTATTGCTAATCTTGTTTGCACTGAGTCTGAATCTGTATTATTAAGCAAAAGGATCAAACCCACAATTACTATATCACCAAATTCACAAGCCAATGCTTTAATCCACAAGGCTATTATCTGATTTATTGTTTAATGAATAAAAGTATTGGTTTACAAATTTGGTGGCACAGTAATTGTGAGTTCAATTTCTTGGTCGGGTAGTACAGACTTATGTAGGAATCATTCTATTCAGTTTTTCTTTGAATGTTAAAATTTGGAGTGTCGGGATTCAATACATTAACAAAATATCGTTACAGGGTTAATCGTAATTTGGCCGTCTAGAATAATCAAACGTTTTTCATTGAAGGAATAAAATTCAGTAGAAAAGACAAAATAGTTTCAACAAATAAACATTGATTTAATATAACGATAGGAATACAAACAGTTGATAATAGATTGGAAAGTAATGTCTTTTTGTTTGGGTTGATAAAGTTCTGAAATAAAATATAAAACTGTTTTTTATGTACGTATGTGAGAAACAATAAAATGTTGTGATATGTGTGTTTGTATGAAAAAGTCAACATGTGTGTGCGTGATTCATAGTAAAAACGATTACGAGAGATACGAATTGTTTCTTACTGTTGGCGGTGTTGACGTGGTCTGGAGTTTGTCAACGCTGTCGTTTTTAACATGAGGTCATGAAGGTCATCAGCGAGAGGTGTGTGGAGTTTGGTGGCAGCCGCATGTATATTGTTTTGGGAACGGATTTCGTATGTTTTTATACACTTTTTCCGAACAATATCGGCTCCAGAATTAAATTATTTATTTATTCCTAATTGGCCCTAAGAAGTAAGTCACGTGGTATGTCTTCTACTACGTCCGTACGATATTTGGTTGGTATCTACCTAAAAATAATGATGACTGATACAACAAACATTCTGATTTGTAATCTATGATTTTATTGGTGTGTTTTAAGATGTAAGTGTTTTCTTGAGTGTGATTGGTTTATAAATATTGTAGTTGATATTTTAGTGGACACAACACTTAGACCCAGTGGAAACAGAGTGATCAATAAGTGAGCAGTACTAAAAAGAACAAGACATGGATTAAACAGAGTCTGAAGATTACCTTAAGGAGTGTAGAGAGCACAATGGCTGAAACATTACGATATTAATCAAAAATTGATAATAATTGACAATGCTTCATCTAACAGTAATAAATTTCAATAATATTATTACATTATTTTTTTTTTTTTTTAAGATTTTGAGATAAAGATAAGTTTCTTGAGTTGGGGTTTTTTAATGTAAGCAATATAACATAAATTATAAGAAAGGAAAGAGTATGATAACAATAGCATATAGAGTTGGGATAGAAAAACTGTGTGAAGGAAGAAAGAAAGAAAATGAAGAAATAAAGAAGAGACAGAAGAAGAAAAAAAAATTAAAAATGGAGAAAAAAATGGAAGACAAAAAATGTGCAAAAGTGCACAACAAACATTTAATTAACTAAAACGAAGACCAAATAATTTTTTTTTAAATTTTAAAAATATGTAAAAAAAAAAAAAAAAAAACTAAACAGAAAACACTTACAAAGCATACAGAGAAGGAAGAAAAACAATGTGACAAAAAATATCTTTAAAAAAAATGAAAATAAGATCAAACAAGAGAAAATCAAAATAATGAAAAAGATATTCCCAGACAAAAAATTAAATTATCTTCATTTCTTTTTATAACTTATTTTATAATTTAATAATGGCAGTTTATCACTTTGTTGCTTCCATAACAAATCCAACCTTATTAAAATTTAATCACAAATAATTTATGCTTCCATTACCGGGCCGGTTAAAATAAATCATTTTAAAAACTGAGATGTAATTTCGGTTATTTCATATTTTTTTTTAAAGAAAACTAAACATATAATTTTTTTAAGGGAAAAATATTTTTTTAAATTACAGAAGAAATTAATTACTTTCTTGGTGTTCTGTAGCAGGGGAAAAAATACTAGCCGTAACCTACTTTTCAAGATTCAATGATGACGAGCAGTGGTTGAATTACTTGATTTTAGTTATGTTGGATTTGCAACACATATTTATTTAAAATCGTTTAAAGTATTTAAAAAGAAATAAACACTGCCTTAAAATTAAAATGATTTCGGTTGTATACGTAAACATTTTCAAATGCGCTCTGTGAGATGTTTAAAAAAAAAAAACGCCCGGGTGATTATAAATAAGGGGAAAAATTCTTCTTGTACACCGGTAATTTCCGCTTGCTTCTTTCTTTTTACATTTTTTGTTTAAAAAAATAAATAAATAAATAAAATAAAGAATGATTTTTTTTTTTTTTTTTTAAAAAAAAAAGGTTAAGACAAAGTGAAAAACGGGCTTTTCACCTCGGCCTTTTTTGTTGTCCCGTAGCGATGCCAGAAAATATTTATTAATTTGGGCCAGCTGCGACGGAGTAAGTAATTTAATCTTGGACACGTTTCGTGTTCATCTGCAGAACCCCAAAAAGATATTTTATCTTATTTTCGAAAAAAAAAAAAAAAAAAAAAAATAGAAAAAAAAAAAAGTGGGATCTTTTTTGGTCGTGTCTGTGTCAACTGTAACGCATATGTGACAATGTGTATGCATACGCTTTTCTCATAATGTCATTTTTTCACCTCTTCTGTTATTATTCTCGACCACTTAAATTTTGTTTTATTTTTTTCGTCTCTCAATTGCTATTTGGTTTATATTGTCACGAATTTTTAAATTTCTAGTAAAATTAACTCTTCATTATTTTAATAATAAATCCTTACTTAGTGGCTTAGTCATTCAATTAAAAAATCAATTTGAATAGAAAATAATTTAAGTGTTAAAAATAAAATTAATTTAATGACGTGATTTATTTTGTCTTTAAATATTTGTTTAGATTTTGATTTAGGTTTTAAAATGTCTTCAATTGAATTGCATTTACATTTGGTCCGTAACAACATTATTGATCGAACAGAATTTAATTTTATTTTATTTGAGCGTTTAAAATTCACTATTGTCTACGGTCAGTAATTTTAAATGATTGATTTCATTTTTTTAAGTCAGTGAATACAAGGAAATTGAAGCTTCCAGTTGTGAGAATGATATGGTTATTCGATCCTTTTCCGTGATATCGATTTATCGATAACTTGATATTCAATTGCCGATATTTTGAAAGATAAATATTGATCAAAATAAAGTGTGTAGTAAATTAAATTCTTAAAATTGAATGACAGGGATTCAATTTTTTTTTTTTAATTTTAATCGATAATAGTGCCGCTTCGCACAAAGGCGAGATTGTATTCACTTGATAATCGATTTTTTTAACAAAATGATTTTTCTTATAAGTACAAATGTTTTTAATTGCATATCTGACAATTTATAGCACACAATTCTAATGTGCCGATCCCGATCTATGGGACTAGGGAAGAGAGTGCTGCGCCAATGCTTACCTGAACAAATAAGCATTTGAAATTTTGTTCCCAGAGGGTTATTTTTTTATTTTTACTTCATCAAGTTAGCTTGATGTATTTTATTTTAAGTATCAAGAGAA